CAAGAGTTTTTAATATCTGAGCTGTTAGAAATTTAGTCACTTAGCTGTCATTCCCATGGACAGATACACTTTCGATAAACAAAGGAGCCAATGTTTACCCTTCAAAAAAAACAACCCATCGAAACTTAGCTTGTCACTGGTCTAATATCAACTTCCACAGAACTGCAGGTTAAATTGCTACATCCCTTCATTGCAGAATAACAGATCTGCCAAGCACTGAATTTTATTAAAAACACTTAGTCATGGTGGAATCCAGACTTCTAAGGATGTAGTTTCCTCTCCTTTAAAATGACTGTTTTTAATTTTAAGCATCAAAAATAAAATCCCAGCTCCCTGATATATGAGAAACTAGATGCTGGTCTCTGCTAATCATTGGTGCTGCACATTTTGTAAGAAAAATAGAGTCTAGCTACACCCAAAGGAGGAATAAAAACTGCAAAAAATTGGGAAAAAAGTATGCTTACCAAAGTGTCTGATCTTTTGTTCATGTTTCTGCATGAATGATTTAGATGCATCTTCATCTTCTACCTCTTTTCCTGTATTTTGATTAATAAAACTCTACAGGGAAGTGGGAAGAATACGCACGTTAGTTTCAATTACACAAAAGCCTTCACTCTGTTTTCAACTAAGTCAGGCTAGGAATATCATTTTGATAGAATCATAGAGCTGAAAGGGACCCCAAAGGATCATCATGTCCAGCCCCTGCATGAGCAGGAAAGACATCTGGGGTCAGACAACCCCACCCAGGTGACCATCCAGTCTTCTCTTGAAGACCTCTAGGGTAAATGATTGCACCACCTCTGGGGGGAGCTTGTTCCATAGTCTGGACACCCTAGTTGCTGCGTTCCATTTAATTACTTTACCACACATAAAAACATGATGGGAAAAGCACACCCACTCAGTCTTGCAATATTGACAATTTCAGGATTTAAAGCATGCCCAATACATTATAGTGAGAGGTGCAACATAAATGCCCAGATTCAGCTACCAGTGCCAAGCCTATTTTCACCTAGATTTATGGAAGTTGGTTTGTACCTTATTAAATACTTCCTTGCTAACAGAATCGGTGCAACAGAGATTCTGTTTCTCTCTCTGTATTAGTGCTGCTTCTTTTTGTCTCCATTCTTCCTCCCGCTGCCTCAGCTCGGAAGCTTCAGTCTGTGCTTTGGCGTTTTCCTGATCCAGGGACTCCGAGTTGTGCAGTGCCAAACTCCCGAGCTTCTGCTGGGCTTCCGCAAGGTTCCACTTGCACTCCACGGAGCTCTTCACGCACTCCTTCTGCTTTTGGCAAGCTAGCTCAATCCCATGGCTATATATCTGCATGAAAACACACACACAGTTACATGGGGAAGTGGAGAGAACTGAGGCAGCGTATGCAGAGGGATACAGTTAGCTCCACAACTGAATCCTGACATGGCAAAGCTTTTACATTCTGAACAATGACGAAGCATGGCATTACGGCAGGAGAACGCTGATCTCAGTTTTACCTCTCGTATTTGTTCAGCATACAAAGAAAAATATTTGCAGCAACTCCCAGCCTTGTGAAACGACAGACCGTGCACCAGTCGCTGGTGGTAAGCCTTTTCCAAGCCATAGTGATTGTTATGATACACAAAGCCAGGATAAATCTGGCTGGCTCACTCGCTCCATTTATTCTGCGGTGCTCGCCAAAACCAAAGTATCTGTTAGGGCCATCTGTAGCACCCGCGACCATAACACCACATTAATCAATACTGTTTACGCCCCAGAGGCTAAGTATCATATTTTTCGAACGCACTGTGTGGCGAGAAAACGCATAAAAGTGTGACCTCGGGGAATCTTTGGGGAACCAGAAAACAGGTGATGCTTTGCAGCTCAAGGCAACACTGTCGCTCCCAGCCACGCTGGGGGCAGCGAGAGTACAGTGATCCTTGGCTGCTTTCGTTCTGGGCTGTGCATCGGGGCCAGTCTCCCTGTACCCCAACCAGCTGCTAGCTCAACCTCACGCGAAAGCCAGATATGAAGGGGGAGCTGAGAGCCCTGTCCCCCGGGGAGCAGGCAGTGAGCGGCCCCCCAGTTCAAGCTCCGCCGGGGGTGGGGGGGGGCGTTCCCAGCCCCGACAACGCCCGGCCCTGGGGAGAGGGCGGGGCGGACGGTACCTGCGGGTGGGCGGCAACAGGCGGCGCCCCGCGCTCCTCGTCCCCGCCC